TTTTTTTTTTTTTTTTTTTTTTTTTTTTTTTTTTTTTTTTTTTTTTTTTTTTTTTTTTTGTATTTGTATTTGGTAATTTATCATTTTTTTTTTTTTGTATTAGTTTAAGAATTTAACAAATGATAAGATAAACAAAGTATATTGATAAAATAAAAGATTTGACTATTTGAGCGATCGAAATTTCTTATTTTATATTAAAATACCTATAAAAATGAGAGATTTTTTCATTTTAAGACGAGGTTTAAGAAGCGAAAAAATAAATAAATAAATAAGAGAAGCTTTAGATATTGAAAAATGAAATACCCTGAATCTAAATTGGAACTTGATTGAACAGGAGTTTATCGAGTGAAAGAATAGTTCAACCCTCGTTCAATCTGTCAGCTCTCTCTTTTCTAAAGGTTACGGTTCCTAATTAGAACAATAGATTGAACGAAGCTACGAGATAGAGAGTTTACGTACGAGGGGAATGGGAGGTCTGAGTCGATCGGATGCAGGGAAGACCAGGCTCCGTGATCCAACAAGAAAAGAAAAAGAAGAAATAGAGTAGTCAGGAGCAGATAAGCCGGATATTAGTTTCTTAAACTTTATTTTTAAAGTTTAAAATATGAATGTAATTTTTAAAAATTAATAATATTTTTTAAACAAAATATTTTTAAACTTCCGTACAAGTTTAGAAATACTTTTTAAAATAAAATATAAAGTTGATTAATAATTTCTATAATTTAATTTAATTTATGTTAAAGATACGAAAAATGATTTTTTTTTTTTTTTTTTAATTTAAGAGTAATAATTCTTTTCTCTAAAAAAAATTATGCACGTGCAAGGGTTTCAACTTTAAAATAATATTAAATATTACAAATTTTTTTATTCAAAACCTAGTGCTAATTTATTCACGTGTGTATATATATATATATATAACTAATGTATAATTGAAAATTGTCTCCAACATTTAATATAAAATATTTTAAACATAAACTTGTACCCCTCAAATATATCTCTCCATCCATACCCAATTATAACAATAATAATAATTAATAGAATGATAATAATATGTCTCTATTTTCCAACCTTTTATCTCATAATTTTAAATTTAGGTTTGAATTTCCACTTATTGTTGACAAAAATCATTATTATTTTTATTCTAAAACTATAAATAAATCTATAAAAATAAATAAATAAAACCCCCACGTTATGACAAAATTCCTATAATTTGATCATTTCAACCTTTATTTATTTATTTATTGATATAGCCATTGCCTCCCTCTTAGAGGGTGGAGAAAAAAAAATATATTGAGGGTGACGACCATTGATAAGGATTAAATTACATTTTAAAATACATTTTTTTACTAAATATATCTAATTATTTTTGGGTAGTGTTTTAATTACAAAATTCAACTTTTTCAAAATTTCCAATTTTACCCCTAATATATATCCATTTTCAACCGCCTCACGACTTTTAAAACGTGTCGATTAGGGGGAGATTTCCAGACCCTTATAAGGAATGCTTCTTCCCCTACAACCGATGTGGGATTTTACAATCCACCCCCTTGTGGGCCCAACGTTCTCATTGACACATTTCTCAGTGTTTGGCTCTGATACCATTCGTAACAGACCAAGCCCATCGCCAGCAGATATTGTCCGCTTTGGCCCGTTACGCCGTCAACTTCACAATTGTTAAAACGCGTATGTTAGGGAGAGGTTTCCACACTTTTATAGGAAATGTTTCATTCCCCTCTTCAATCGACATGAGATCTTACAATCCTCGACTCTCACGTATGTTATAGAACTCAAAACGATATAAACCCACTTTTTAGTCAAATGAGAGAGAGAGAGTCTAATTAAACAATTCCATTGCCACCACCACACCATTATAAATATATATCCATGGAGTTAATACTCCAAACAAAGCAGCTTTCAAAGATGGGAAATGCAATGGGAGGAGGATCAAGAAGAAGCAAGAGAACAGCAAAGGTGATGAAAATCAACGGCGAAACCTTCAAGATAAGAACACCAACCACAGCCTTCCAAGTCACCACCCACCATCCAAATCACCTCCTCTATGACTCCCAATCCATCACCCAACTCGGCCTCCGAGCCAAGCCTTTGGACCCTCACCACCAGCTCAAACCTAAGACCCTCTACTTCCTCCTCCACCTGCCCCCTCTCCCCGGTAGCCATCGCCCGTTGTCTCGTGTGCGCTCCGACCTTTGCTCGTCAGCCTCCGACCGCCTCGAGTGTCTTATGCTCTCTCGTCGATCAGTCTCCGACCTCCAATCCTTTCGGTTGGATCCCGATGGGATGTCGACTGCCTGTCGCCCTACTGGACCCGTGCAAATCAAGCTTCGAGTGCCGAGGGAAGAATTTGAGAGGCTGATGAAGGAAAGTAAGAGCAAGGTAGAGGCAGCGGAGAGGATTGTCGATTTGTGGAAAACAGGCGGCATGTGTAGTGGTCAAGCGCGTGAGGTGCGTTCTTTAGCCGTTCTTTAGCTTTTTGAATTTACGTTTTAGTGAAGTGATCAAGCGGGTTGGGTTTAAGAATTCTTTTAAACTAACTTTAGTTAGGTTGATGACCGGAACAACTCCAATTGAGTTCACAAATTAATCTTCCATTTTTGGGTTTTTTTTTTTAATCATTTAAAAATATTTTACTTATCCACCGTACATGTTAGGTAATCTTGGTTAGTCGACCTGAAAATATTTTGAGCTAGTTAAGTTGATGACTTGAACCGACTGGAATTTTTCAGCTCAAAAAATTGAATCGAACCCGACCTTTATGATAGGTAATCTGGATTGGTCATATTCTCGAATCATTTAAACATCCCTAAAGATTCATATTCTTTTGGCGTATTCTCTACTCTTCCGAAGAAATTTTTTTTCATTAAAATAATAATAATAATACACTTTATCAAGGAAAAGAAAAATATTTTAAAGTACTTTGAGTTGTAATTTTTTTTTTTTTTTTTTTTTTTTTTTTTTTTTTTTTTTTTTTT